CAACCAAAACAAACACTACCCATCCCCCAACCAGAACCCAACACCAAATCAAAAAGAAATCGTTCAAAGCAATGCTCATATCCGTTTCACCACACAACAGAAAAAGAAATCCTCGTCGGTTTCGCCTGCGGCCATGTCTTCCACCTGTCGCACATCCACCAAACGTCCACGAACACCAGCAGCAGTCCCACCACCCCCTACAGCCGGTCGGCGGTGCACACGCCGCGGCCGTTCTCGCCGTCGCGCACCATCACCCTCGAGGACATTTCGACGGCGACGGCGAGGACGGTCGGCCCCAAGGTCACGACCGCGCGGCTGCTGCGCGACCGGGTCGGTGAGGGCTGTCGCATCTGTACGCTCGCCAAGGAGCTGGAGGCCATTGGGGATGCGGACGCGTAGGTAGGTGTAGAGGAGAGGCAGGTGGGCAGATGGGCAGGCAGGCTGTCTTAGTCTCGTGCATGGGGGATGCTCCTCTTGAATGAGGGGTCGGTGAGGATTCTCGACTCAAGTTTGCCCTTCGCTCAGGTTGGCTTTGGGTGGGCGGCTGAATGCTGAGACAACGATCCTAACATCAAGTAATGCCCTAAAGCTTCACAGCTACAACCCCCTAACGTCCTGCAGCTGTTGGGATGGAGGGGTAGCCATGGCCGAGGTGGCGGTGGTCGAGTACGTCAACTCATCAGTATGGCTTCTAGGAGGAGGACGCGACTAGGCCATGTATGTTTATTATTTAGGAGATACCCATGGTAGCAACGGATTACTGTGCGAGCAACGTCAAGGTCTGAAGACTTTTTCGCAGATTAATTTAGGCGGCGACCAACCGCTTCAATAGCAAGTGACAGCAGAAATAATCTTGGGAGCGGCACACGTTACGCCTTGCGTCCCGACATGAGACAAATAAAGAGAAAATAGAAGCACCAGGTGTCCGACAGCAAGGGGGACAGGCTCAGTCACACAGAGTGTCCGTGCCCGAGTCCCCCTGTGCATGAGCCACTGATGAAATAGCACTAGAGCGTGAAAAGAACCTCTTAGATACTGAAGAAGATAAGGAAAGTTGCCGCGAAGGCCAGAAGAGCAGCACGCATGCCACCATTACCGGAAGCCTCGCTCGAAGGGGGCGCGGTGGTATGAGTGCCACTGGCGGCCGAAGTACCAGTACCAGAAGCGGTGGTCAGAGTGGTAGCTGAGTGGGTGATGTCCTGCGTACTAGAGGAGACAGGGGAAGCCGAGTGAGAGGCACTGGTGCTGGGCAGACTAGAAGTCTCCTTGGTGTTTGAGGTTGGGCTGGGAGCTGCCTCGGTCTTCGAAGTCACGGGCGGCTGCGCAGGAGTCTGTCCAGTAGTGCCAGGCACCGAGGTAGGAGAAACTCCCTCGGGCTTCGAAGTCACAGGAGGCTGCACCACAGTACCAGGCACAGTAGTGGGAGCGGGAGGAGCACTCTGGGATTCCGAGTGACTCGAGGACTGACTAGTGGGGTTGGCAGGAGGGAGCCCGGTGGTGCCCGTCGCGGGTGGGTTCGCGGGACCAGTAGTGGAGATCACCGAGGTCGAAGTCTCACAGATGGTTTTGATGATGGTCACTATGAGAACGACAGGAGTTAGAAGCTACGCTAAAGGCTTTGACGAACGAGGGAGGAGAACATACCGTCGCGGGGATCGTGCTCATGCATGGCTGCGGTGGTAGAGTGGTCAGAACAGCTGACTCTCGACTGCTTCCTGAGCTTGGATGACTTACCAAGAGGAATGGCAATGAAGGACTCATCGTCATGCACGGTTTCAACGGCACCAACGTTTTCTGGTAGAGTGTCAGCTGAAGTCTTTGATAATGTTGGTCGGAGGGCACTTACCGGAAGCCAGAGTCAGGGTTGCGAGGATGCAGACGGTCAACAAGACCGCAACCTTGAAAGGGGCGAACATTTTGATAAGAAGAAGTGGGATTACGGTCTTGGAGCGAGAGAATGATGAAATCAACGAGCGAGGTTGTCAAGTTTTGAGCCTTGGGGCTGGAGATAGTTGGAACGAGTGTGGATGGAGGTAGCGAGCGTGAGAGGTGATAGAATGGGGAGATGGAGAGGAGAAGAGATGGAGGATGAAGAGATGGAGGATGAAGAGATGGAGGATGATGAGAAAGAGGAAGAAGAAAAGACGGAGGAGAGAAGAGGGAAGATAAACAACAGCAGCAAGTCAGGTGTCGCAGTGAATGTGCGTGTTATCATGGGTGATCCCAAATAGGAAAGGGGCACCAAGCACAGCACCAAGCAGCTGAGAGAGTATCACAAAGAGAGGGAGGCGGCCAATGACCAGCAGACAGTGAGAGACATGCTTTCATTCACTCCCAGACACGCAGCCAATGTCGGATCTGGCTGGAGGAGAGCGCACGCTGTTCAAGGTTGAGTGAAACCGCATCAGAATGTGTAGATGTACGAGAGGACTGCAGTTTCTATAGTGGATTGAGACATAGGACTTGCAGCATTCCCACCAGCTGAGAGATAATTATAGACTGAGCACTTGCAGATGTCAAGCGCACTGTCGATGCACATGCAGGCGGCCTCCACGATAGATCAAAAGTACTGTCTGTACTTGGTGTACATAGCTCTACTCTCTCTCTGCTTACACTTCGCTCCTCTGTAATTCCAGTCACTGGACGAACGTATGCATCCATCCTATACATCCACCCTATGAGTACGTCTCCACTTGATCAAAAAGAATAAGCTTAACAGCAGCCGAGCTGCACGGCAGCTAAGCTCAAACTGGTCAAAAGAACCCTGCCACTGCACCATACGAGGAACCACCAGGCACAGCCGAACAGAAGAACCCAGCGGTAACTTAACCAATGGTGCGTCAGCAGTGGCTGGTGAGTCTGTCTGATCTCGTCTCCTCTTTTTCCCTGCTGGGATCGTTCTAGCAACCTGTCCCCTGTGGCTCAGGCCAAGCTCTCGGAGGAACCGGCCAGAGACTACCTGGGCACCTCCCCCAATTACTTGTCAACTCGTCCACGGATTTGGTACTTTTTGTTACCTCCCCTCCTTACCGTCGCCGCTAATCCCCACTATTTATGACAGCTATGACAGGGCAGTATGCATCCGTCTCCGTCTTATCCTGCACGGAAAGCTTTTCCTCAACGAATAGCTGGCCGGTTCGCAACGAGGTTTCAAGCTAGTCTCGTATCACAAAGAAACGGAAGGCCTGGATCGGTCTAGAATATCCAGCTGCTTGAGCTGGCCGGTATCAGCTCTGACGGCTGGATGCATGGGATCGATTGTTGGCACTGCTCCCATCACCAGGAGGTCTGATCGGCCTGCTTTCTGAGCCCGGACGTCAGGAATGTGCCAGCTATGCGCCTCGATTGATCATTACACCAGAACAACAATAGAGAACCATGATCGACAACCACATTTCATGGTCCCGACAAAGGGTGGGTGGTGTCCGGTGAAAGGGTATACGCATCAACCCGCCGCCACGCAGCAAAATGCTCACCTTCCGGAGCTCCTCCCAACGCCTGAAGCTATTCCGAGTGACAGAACTTTGCAGTAACCGGGGCGACCCACTCCTATACAGACACCATCGTTCCTCTCTTCACCACCCTCCCCTTATGACCAGTGACCTTGAACTGTTCGTCGTTCTTCCCATAGAAACCTCCCCTTTGACGACATATCCAATTCCTTTCGCGGTAGATCAGCAACGTTAGCTGCGGAGGTTATTGCAGATAAGCTACCGTCCCCACGGCTGCAAGTGTCACTATCCCCAAGACCGATCGACCAATCAATGGACGATCGAGCAGAGATCGAGCAGAAGAGTCTGACAGTCCACGATCTCCTGTGGCAAAACGGTCTCGTCTGCCCCCCTCCCCCCCCGACGTTTCTTCACGCACGTTTAAAATCAACCTTAAAGCCTAACGAGACCTACCCTCCCCGGCACTTGCAGCCAAAACCCGCCAGGAACGTTACCACTATCTGACAAGAAAGTTACTCTATTTCCGACGCTGTGGTTCCAGGACAAGCAACCACCTCGTGTCCGATGCTTCCGGTAGATCGATAACGCCCTATGAGGTGCAGCCCTAGCGAAGAACAATCAATCCAATCTACAAGCGCCGGCTGACTGATCTCGGTTTCCCATGAACTAGTAGGCTAGTTGATTTTTCTGTTCCCCTGTCGATTACTCCTCCCGACTGCCGAGCAGATCCTACTCCATGATCACTACCCCTACTTAGCGCGATCTTGGCTCACAACACAGCACACCTCATGACAGCCAAATCTGTCTCGTGCTCTGGTTCTGAGTATCTTATCCCGTGAGCATTGGTCTTGAACCCTCAGGCATTCATTCCAGCACCACAGAGCGCCCTGGGCCAAGACAATACGAGCTGATACCCACGATACCCACCGCCCAGCGGTTCGGCGTTCGTACGGTGTAAGCATGGTATGTAATTCCAATACCGCCAATCCGCCCTTCCTGCAGGCCAAACGGCGCTAAATTAGGTGGAAAATTACCACAAGTGGAGTAGAAGAAAAGCATCCCTCACCCATCGGCACGATCCGTATGTGGAGTGGAGAATTCATTTTCTCTCTCAGTCAGCCGCCGAGACCCAAGCACCACCAGAGGGGGGAAAAATCGGTGGGTTGCAGCGGCACTATGTCCGGATTTCCAAGGAACTTGACAGGGACTAGCAGTGCGCGTATGACGACATCGTACATTTCGGAGGTGCAAAAGGGCCCCCCTACCGAGTTCATGACGTCACTTTCAGGTCCAGCTGCGCTCGCTCGCTTCTCTTGGGGGGTCTGGAATTTCCCCTTCCCTTGTCCGCTCCCACCTTTTTTTTTTTTTTTTTTCTTTTTCCACCCCGGGAGCGAGTTCTAGTATGAGAAACAATTCGCGGAGGAGCGGACAGCAGATCGAAGAGAGAAGGGAAGGGGGGACGTGTCAGACCGAGCCGAAATCTTTTTGGTTTTTCGGGTTTGTAGCATTCAATCTACGGAGTACCTTCCTTTTTCTACTCGTTTTCTTCTCCCTGTCCAGAGTACACAGCAGGGAAAACCGGATCTCGCCAACTACTGAGCACTTTCCCTTTCCCATTCCCATTCCCATTCCAATGCACTACGACCAGCACCTACCGGTAGACCTGAGACCTCGTCGTTGTATCGACAGTAGTCCGTACATCTACATGTAACTCTAGTCCGAATAGACCAACAAACGACCTTCCTCTTTCTGAACGAAGACGACAGACAAGACAAACCGTCCGCTCAGATCCCTTCCCCCCCGAACTCTCACACGACCCGACTAAACAAAAACACAAATCGATCGTCTTTTCCCTCGCATCGAACCAGATGCGGCCCCCCAACTCGGAAATCCGAAACCAGACCAATGCCCAAATCGAGACTCCCACAAAAAACCCCTCATTGCATTTTTGTACGAGGTACACAGTACATCAGTACATCAGTACCTCAGTACCTCTTCTCCACGAGATCGGCATTATCGTTTCCGAGCGCAGTGATTGGTGGAATGGTTGTTTTTGTTTGACGGAGGAGGCTCGGGAGCCAGCCAACCAGCCAGCCCACTGTAGACTTGACTCGATTGAGGAATACTGTAACTACGCGTCCCCAGGGGGGGACCACCCAGAAAAGAAACAAAGAAAAGAGCCGAACCTTTGGTACGCAAAGTCTGGAACACAAGCAGATGATAAGCGTGAAGGTTCCTCTGACTCGATCATCGACACGTCGATCCCGATCCCAGATGCTGAGCCCGCCCGCCCGGCAAAAGCTGTTCCATCTGTCTTCTCGAAAGTTGAAACCCAGAAGAGGAAGAGGAAGATGAACGGAAAATGGAGATCCATCAGGTACCGGTACCGGTACCGGTACCAGTACTCCGTACCACCTTCGAGTCCAAAGGGTGGTACGTACTGGTACGTTATGGGGATTCGAAAGCCGAACTTCAAACCAAAAAAAAAAAGTGACCAATCAATGTGGTACCGAGGACGGGAGGCCGGCCATGCCCCATGCGCCCTAGCGGTGACGTCACCGACATCCTCGGCACATGGCCACATAGTAGAAGTATCTAACTTATTTGTCGCATTGCTACTGTACATACATACTCCCAACCGAAGAAAGCCACACAATCTTTACCCTCTACAAGGATAGGGTCGCGGAATAATCAGCGAAACTCCATAAGACATGTTCTTTATAGACCGGGATATCTCGAACCGATCCTCCTCCTCCTCCTCCTCCTCCTCCTCCTCCACCTCCATCGACCTTCGATCAGGAAGGTGCAGAACATAGTGACCCTGAACGAAAGTCGGGACGCTTGCCCCGATCTCCGACCTTCCTTCTGGCCGTATCTCCCAAGGTCGACTCCCCAACAAACCCAGCCCGTCCAGTCCCACACTGCGAGTCCAGATAGCCTACGAGTACTCCGTAGATACCGTAAAAATTCCAAGAAGTCCAAGCGATACTTCAACAAACGCAACTCTAGCGCGCCGCGTCCGCCCTGAGACAGGCACTAAAACCGCAAAAGACTCCACCTTGATTGTCCAGACTAAAGAGTGCATCAACCAGTTAGTGGCTCCGCGAAGGTTGTTTAGGAAGTTGTACACCGCACCCGCACCCGCACTCGAAGCCCATCAACCACCCAAACCATCAACAAGACCGATTATCTACAGACGGGACCCGGTCTAGAACCTCATTTTCGACCACCCACCATTCAACCTGATGTCCTGAACTTACTGATGAGTACAACATGCATTGAAACCATGCATGACTTACCATACCTAGCAGTACCCATAAATTTCCCAGATTAGAGTCCAGTCCCGTAAGAACCAATCGGCACGAAATTGAACCCTCCTCCCCCCCCCAAAAAAAAACAACATCGAAGGAACTTCGATTCCATTCGATTCCTCCCCCCCCCCCCCGGCCCCCCAATTTCAGCCT